CTCGTTGCTCGGCTGACAAATCGGCGGCGGCCGCTATTCTCGATCGAAGTCGCAGAATGTCGTCGTTGTCTATGACGACCGACAGCTGTATGAGTCGACTGGATGACGGCAGCTGTTTCCCTTGTTTCAATACTGCGATTTCGTCGCCGAACGCCTCTTGTTGCATCGCGCGAATCCATAGTCGTCGCGCGCGATCTAGGTAGTGTGTGTCTATGGGGATGAAACACACAGATGGACTATTGTTGTTCTTGATTTTCATCTTCGTCTTCTCTCTATCGACTTTCTTCGTGCGGGTCCAAGTGGGGTCGGCGCTCTCTTTCTTCTTGTTCCTCTTTCGGATGGCGGTACAGCGTTGACTGGTCGGTCGCAGGAGGTCGATGAACTGCAACACCCGTGCTGAACTGCGAACAAGTTTCAACCAATTAGAAAAACGTGACGGATCGGGTAATGCTATAGACAACTGCGTCGCGTTCTGTAGCTTGTGTACGCGTTCTTCTCCCGTTTCCGCTTGACTATCGTCGCTCGTACTATCTTCACGCGGCCACTGTTCTTCGTTTTTGTCGAATTTCCTTTCGACCAGTTGGAGACGTCGCATTGCCGATTCATAGTTGTCCGGCGGCACAGGGTCGTCCTTCTTCCACAGTAACCCCGTCTCGTATCCTCCCGCCGGTAACGGACGAGTTTTTCTTCTAAAATGCGTAGGGCGCGACGTTCTTCTTCATTGTAAGACCTCTTCGGTGCGATCCCCAGCGATTCGAGCGCGAAATGTTGCTTCATCATTTCTTCCATCGATTGTTCCTCTTCATGTGTCGTCACTATGTGGCTGATTCTGTGCACCTGCTGTCTTGCCCTGCCGCGACTCGTACCGTGCAGTACCCATCCCAGGTCGGTGAGTGATGCGACCGGCTGCGTGTCGGATCCTCTTCTAACTTCGTGGGCCAGCAGTAGGTGCCAGTTGTCTTGCCCCAGCAGTACCGTCGGTTTGCCCTCTTCGTAGACCAACTCCCTCTCTATGTCTCGTAGATGTGGACAGCCCTTGATGACGCTGCGCGGTACCGACTGCGGTGATAACTGCAGTCTGTCCATCGTCCGTGCCCCCACTGTGTATTCTTGTGAATTCCGCCCGCGGATCTTGAAGTGAACACGCGTCGATTGAGCTGCGTTGATCCGTGCCCCGGCCACACCTTCCATGTAGAATGGTGCGGGGGACCCGTAGCACCGATTCGCTCCGCCACCGTCGTCTCGATGATGGTGCAAGTCGACCCGTCGTCCAGTAGCGCGTAGGTGTCGCACGTTCCCGTGGGACCGGTGACTCGTATCGGCAGGATCTTCAGGAACGCGATCTTGTCGTTTCCCCTTGCCGATGCGGCGACTGCGGCGGTCTTGTCCTCGACGACGTGTGTCGTTACTTCATTCTCCGGCTGTTGTCGCGTGGTGTGCAGCAGAGGGTGATGAGTCTGCGTGCACTCATCTACTCCACATCTCTTGCTCTTGCAGGCGTGGCGAAATCTTCTTACTTTGAGGCAGCGGAAACACAGCCTATGAGTCTTCGCTAACTCCCATCTCGCCGATGTGTCTGCTTCCTTCATCGTCTTGCAGTCCGATGGAGCGTGTCCCTCTCGTCGACACATCGGGCACGGTGGTGTAGCGGGTTTCTCCTGCGTCGCGTATGTCTTCGCCGTCTTCCTAGGAGCGGACTCCCGCCGGTCTTCGGACGGTATCTCCTCGGCGGGGGCGAAGTTTCCACATCGTGCGGCGGTCCTTTGCAGGAACTGAGAGAGTGTTATGAGGTCCGGTTGTCCCTCCGGTTGGTCGTTGGCGAAATCGTAGTACTTGAAGCGTAGTACCGACGGCATCTTCTCTGTGACGTTTCTCACTATTTCTTCGTTGTAGAGGTAGTGACTCTTGTTCAGCGCTCGTATCGTGGCGACGACGTTCTGCACCTTGCTTGCGAAGAGGCAGACGTCTCTTGCGTTGTCCGAGAGTCGTGGTAGCGCGCGGAGTTTGTTCAGTTCGGCTGTGACGAGTGCTCCAGGGCGGCCGAACCTCGCGGCTAACATCTTCATTACTTCTTCTGCGGTCGTAGACCCGACGAATAGGGAGCGTGCCGCGTCCTTTGCGGCCCCCTTCAAACTTCTGCGCAGTCTTGCTAGGTTCTCTTGTTCTGTGAGTTGACTTGCGCTCTCTTCATAGGCCATCTTCCATGGTAACCACTCGCTCGACGATCCATTGAAGACTGGCAACTCGGTGACTCTTGACGCTGTGGAGGGCAGTATGTTGCGAGCGGCCATCTGCATGGCGATCGCAAACTCATTACAATCGATGCCCACCTTCAGCACCGGTTCTTCTTTCTTCATCGACTGCATCGCTGCTGCTATCGTAGGAATGGCGGCATGTGGGTCAACGTGGCGTGCGTGGTCCCGGTGAAGTGCGTCGCTGCTCGGCTGTGGCGGCGGCGCTCTCGAATCCTCTTCAACGGGTCTCGATGGGACGAACCCCTGACGCTTGCCGGTGACTTCTTCTATCTCTGGTACATGCGGCTCCATTGTGAGTGCCAGCGTGCTTCGACGAACCCAATCCGACGTTCGTTCTCTTCTGACGGTAGCGTCGTCGTCTTCTACTTCCTCGTCGTCCTCTGATTCGGCTTCCAGGGCGGCGACACGTGCGGCGGCCAATTCCACCTCCTTTCGAAGTAGCTCCTCCCGTGCCTTGGCCAGAGCCTTCTTCTTCTGCGAGGCCGTGGTGCGAACCGTGCGTGCCGTGCCGTGCTTCGGTTCCTTCTTCCTTGCTGTCTCCTCTGTCGTTCCTGTGGCTTCGGTAGTCTCCGTGGCTCCTGTGGTCGTCGTATCGCCGGACGTGTTCGTAGTCGATGTGGTGGCGGCGGTAGACAACGTGGCAGCGACAGAAGGCATTCTGACAGCCGCAGACGACGTGGTGGCAGCAACGGACGGCGTGGCAGCGACGGACAGCGTTCCGGCGGCCGTAGTCGACGTGGTGGCGGCGGACGTTGTGGCTTCGGTGACGGCGATTTTTTGTTGCGACGACTTCATGTTTCTCGTAGTCGGCATTTCAGCGATCCGGCTTCAGAATGGTCTTCCTCCAGCGATCCGGCTTCTCGATGTACCAACGGTGTTCCTCCAGCAATCCGGCTTCTCGAAGGACCACGATGAACGGTGTGGACTGCCGTTCGGTGAGCGTGGACTGTAGGGGCGTTGGTTCAGGCTGGAGTGAAACACAGCGATTACTATTCTGAAGCCTCCGGTACCGTCTGAAGAGAGTATTTTTTCTTCTTGTCCTATTTCTTCTCGAGTGTAGTGCGTCGCTGCCCGGAAGCGAATGCCGCTCGACGAGAGGCGGCCTATCTTTATACCCGCCCGCTCGCATGATAACGTTTCCAACTCGCGTTAGCGAATCTGCGCGAGCGGGACGGGGCGAGAAAGAACGAGACGCGTGTCTCTTCAGATCGGTACTCTATAGCGTTTATTTATTGCAATTTACAATTTCTTAATTCTATTTATTGTTACAATTTCTATTTCTATTCGTAGGTAATAATGACAACACACAAAGAAATACTTTATTTAACTTACACTATCTTAAATCTATACAAATCTATATAAAATAACAGAATACAAAACGATTAACTAGGACTTAACAACTATAAATTACGATATATACAAATAATGTCGCGAACAACTATTGTCAATGATTTGAATCTACGAGATGAATATAACATCTATAGTTCCTTGTTATAATGGCCTTTATGAGAGTAAGTTCTGTAAGATCAAAATTGTTATACGTAAAGACATAAAAGAAAAGCACGATATGTATGAGACTTTATCAGAATTTATTGACTACAGGCAGATATATACAGATGGTTCCAAAAATGCACTTAGCACTTCAGTGGCTTTTTACGATTTGTCAAATAGATTTGGTCACGGTTATAAAATTTCAACTTTGGCTAGTATTTACACAGCAGAAGCAAAAGCTATATTTTTAGCATTAGAATACATAGAAAAACAGGTACTATATTCGAAATGGATTATAATTACAGATAGTATGAGTGTTCTTATGGCATTAAAAAATAACACATTCATTTCATCATCAAACTACTTAATTCAAGAAATTCGTAATAAATATTATCATCTCTGTACTATATATGGAAAAGATATTATCTTCATCTGGACCCCTTCACATATTGGAGTGTTTGGGAATGAACAAGTAGACACTTTGGCTAAAATTATTAATTCAAGTGCTGCTCGTGTTCAAGATTTACCCCTTTGTTACTCAGATTGTAGTATTGGAATACATAAAATCGTTACAACTAAATGGGAGGAGCATTGGACTCAAATATTACAGACTAAAGGCAAATGGTACCGCAAAATTAATTGGCGTATTGGAAAACCGTGGTTCTGCAAAGGAAAGGACACAAACAGAAAATTTTACACCAATATTTGTAGATTACGAATCGGCCACGGACATTTCAACGAACACCTGCACCGAATGGGCATGATCGCTTCCCCATCATGCACATGGTGTAACTCAAATACAGCCCAATCTCTACATCACCTTTTTTTGATTGCTCTGAATTTGTCATTCAAAGACACATTATGTTTGACGAACTTAGGATTATCTTCAAAAAACCCGAAAATATCCCGCACTCAATCCCGCTTCTCTTAAGATTTCCTTCTTGTTTCAAAGCTATTTTCACTTATATTACTACAACATTCAAGGAGCTATAAGAATACTTTTATTGAATTGCAAGACAATGATTTTTTATAATTATTTATTTTTAATTTGATAAATCCACTGGTTTAAGAAAACTCAAGAAAAGATATTTATGAAAATGTACTTACCGGATTTGACAAATGAAATATTGAAGATTATGACAATAATTGAAGCGACATTAGAAAAATAAAATTCCAGACAAATTATCTTTTTGAAGACTAGGCAGCATGGTCTCCGACCTTAGCCTGTTCCAAACGGAACAAACGTACTAAAAAAAAAAAAAAATTGACCCATAGGTACCAACTTTTAATTAATCCCGCCGCGACGCAAAATTTTTGTTGATTTGTATTTTTTATTTACAACTGAACAATATTTTTAACGATGACGGAAGTAATTAATTACAAAAGATATGAAAAGTCTTTAGGTCTTCTTACAACAAGATTTGTGTCACTATTACAAAAAGCTAAAGATGGAGTTTTAGATTTGAAAATCGTAAGTATGCACAGGTATGGAATATAACATCAATAATCTGTCAAATGTTATTTAGGCACGAAACATAAACTTGGAATTTTATTGATATTAATTTAAAGTCTATTTATTTTTCAGGCTACTGATCTCCTGGCCGTGCGACAAAAGCGGCGTATATATGACATTACTAATGTACTCGAAGGTATCGGTTTGATCGAGAAAAGAAGCAAGAATAGTATTCAATGGAAGTAAGTGTTTATTTACATTATTGTTTATATTCATGCTAGGTCGCATGTCGGTACGTACAGAGAATCGAGTTTCGTAGACCGCTGATCTTACACACTTTTCTTTATCCATTTTCATAACAGAGAGAAGTCTCAGTGTACATATTGTGCACTGAACAAAACAAAACGCCGGTAACTGTAACTTCTCCCTCGCGCAATAAGTGATCTGTATTTATACTCAGTATTGAACAAAGCCCGTCAGATACCCAGCGCGGCAAAGCTAAAGGAGGTCCCTAGTTTAAGAAGTTGATATAATTTTATAAGTGTTTTATTTCGATGTGTTTCACCTCAAAACAAGGCAACTTTAACCGAATTAATAGATTATTACTCGGAGCCCAGTGTTGTTGTTTATTTTCATAATCTAGGCAATGAATATGTGTCATGATATGTGTGTGGACTGAATACCAAAGATTTTTTTTATTTTAATTTTTGTTGAGGCTTTAGTATACCTGGATGACTATGCCAGACTCAAAAGGAATAACTGAATGTTTGGTTTGTCAATTTATCAGGGGCACCTTTACCCACAGATAAAGGCATTTGGCATTGCGACTTCCAGGTTGACTGAGTATAACATTGATACTACTACTATATATACCTGTATATTATATTATTATATATATAAGATATCAGCTTAAACCCTTCGACTCAGTGCAATGATGAGCTATGAGAATTGTCGATGATCCCAGGCTTGCAAGCGGTATCAAACCCTTAAGTCTTAGGAATTTTGCCTCCTAAATAAATATTTTAAATAAATATTAAATAATTATTTTTATACATTCATGTATAAATATTTGCAGTTAAATTGAGAAATACTTTTTTTTATTATAATGGGAATGTGTTAATAATAGATTCTTAATGTTCCAGAGGTGCTGGACCAGACTGCAATACTAATGATATTGGTGCAAAAGTAATGTCACTAAGGAGACAAATTGGGCGTTTAGAAGAACATGAAAAATTACTTGATAAGTATGTGTTTTGTGTGAGTTTCCTATGAGAACTTAGATCAGTATTTATATAATAGAAACAGGTTTTTCTTTGAGATTATGAATGGGGTTCTTCAAAAAGGGTATAACATTTTCTTTAGGGTCAGCAATACCCATGTGATACTCTTGGTGTTGCAATTTATAGTACTTCATAGGCTATAGTTACTGTTTACAATTAAAGGAGTTTTGGTAAATTAATGTACATTCTTGTTGGTAACTAAGTTTCATTTCTTTTTTCAGCCAATTGCACTGGATTGAACAAAGTATAAGAAATGTATTGGATGATATGGACAATCAAGATTCAATTTATGTCACAGAGAAAGATATTAGTAAATGCTTTGAGAAAAATCAAGTATTAGTTTTAGAATCATCATTAGGAACTGATATCACAGCTGCTGTATTACCTACTAAGGTATTTTTTTTTATGTTTAATTAGCATGTAAATACATAAAAAAAAACTGGATTTTTTAGTACCACTTAAACCTCTTGGGCTTGTGTGTGATACCTTACATTTCGTTCTCAAATGTCCTTGCTAGTACAGCAGAATATTAATGTGATTTATAAATGAATACAATACTTATTTTTGTACTGTACATGTAAGATATATAAGAAAACCTAATATTATATACATTGTTTTGGTTTTTATTGCGTTTAGAAAGCCCCTTACGGCTTTATAAATGTAATAAACACCAAAACAATATTTTTTTAATTTTTTGTCCGTTTGTAAGTTTATGCACACTAATCTCAGAAGCCGCTTAATCAATTTTAATGTAGTTTTCACTATTGTGTTGCAGTTTGCTCTACTTAATATTTAGTGTTTCTTTTATTCCAATCAATTCATAAATAAAAAAGTTATATCATTTAAAGAATCATATATAAAATGCTATAAAAGGCGTATATTTTATGTACTAATTCACGCAAGTGAAGCCGCCAGATACTGCTAGTATTAGAATATTTTGGACTAATAAGTGTATCTCTGATATATTTGAATATTTCATTATATGTCATACCAGCCATTAACGATTCACTGCTGAACATAGGCCACCCCTATTGGGAGGTTTTGCCAGGAGTTTCTATGATTGGCAAGCAGGTTGGCATCTGCAGCTAGGTTTTGCTGATGTTTTAAAAGAGATGCTGCTGCCCATCCCTCCACTATTAAGTTCTTTTATTAGTTGCTTCTTACAACACTCACAGGAAAAAGGGGTGGCCCATTCTATGCTAGGATGGAATATGGATTCTATGATAGGATATACTGGATTTACCACATGGCTACATTAATATTTAAAACAAGATCTTCAATATTCTTTTTTAAATATTTTTTTTCACATAGCACATGAAATAGTATATATTCTTAAGAAAACTAAAGTTTTGATAGAAATGAAATTAATATTTCTAATAATAAAAGTGTTCTTTCTCAAAATCATCAAGTTTTTTAGGTAAAGCAAAAAGAATGTCATCAGCATATAACTTCATAATCAAAATAATGACATATGTATATGATAAAAAAATGGTTCCTATAGACTATTATTTAATTTTAATATTTATTTTTTATTTCATTATGAATTTGTTCACAGGATAAGGAGCCACATTATCTTTTACATGTAAAATCTACAGATCCAATTGGAGTAATATTGTGTGACAGAGACAAAGAAAAGGTATGTAAAATTTTTCCTTTATCTGCTGTAAATTGCTAGCAATATACCCTCTCAGCTCGATCTCCACGTGGCTGCTCTGGAGATCATTATGCTGAATTACAGGTGAATTCATGTTGCGGTGGGCTAAGTGACCTGTAATTTAATTTTCATCTATCATTCATCATTGGTGCCCCACTAGTGTATTCCGCTAGTGAAGTCGGGATTACCATTCCATTATCGTCTATTAACCCATACACATATCTGATGTTTCAGTCACTCACTTGTTCTTTCATACAGTCCATAATTTTTCAGTTTTTCCTCTTCTGTTATTTTCTTCTGTGAATTTTCACAGAATGACTTATCATTCCTTCTCATTACGCGTTTATACTAAGTTAACATAATTAAATAATAAATAGTTAAGTAACATTTATTTCTTTTCCAGGACTTGGAAGAAGATGGTATGATTGATAGTGAAGTGCAGAGTTATACAGAAAACATTGACAGTACATTGCAACATGGCAGTAAGTAATACAGATATTTTAATAAAATGAATTGTAATTATTTGCTAAGTTCGTGTTTTGGGTATTTCCTAAAAAAATATATGGATTAAAGGTGACATAAAATAATTCGGAATGAATGATTATGATACGGTCATGATATAATAGGAGAGTAAAATATTAAGCTATAAGACGCTTCTTTTGTCCACAACTTACACATCGTAAAACATTTTTTTAATGGGTAATAATGGAATGGTAACCCCGCCTGCGCTATCGGTATATTCTGCTTTCTAAAGGCAATCTGCTCTGTAAAGTCCACTCACGGCCAACAGCATAGACATTCAGAAAAAAAAGATAGTTTCCAGTGGGAACCGCGTGGAGGTCGACCTGATAACACAATACACCCGTATTGCTAGTAATACGGGAATTAGACTCCATTACTAACAATCTATTTCCTCCCACCGTAAAGCATCAACACAACGCAGGCTCTATCTCTTAATCAGGGAAGAGCGAGAATTTTTTCGACATCTTTTGTTTGACACTTCACATATTTTCTCCTTCGGTTTTATGTTAAATAATTATTTCCCAAATTTTCAAAAATTAACTTTTAGTACAAATATAAATTCTCGCGTCTCTCATTGGTGCAATTTGAATTTTATTTTGTGCTGAAATTGTTTACTGCATTTGGCTTTTTAGCGCCCCTTGCCATCGCCTAAATGATAATAATGACGCCTAAAGCGACCGCTTCTCTTATCTTAAGGCAGCGTTTCATTAACATGTTGTGGACGAAACATTATAAGCGTTTTGATAAAATTTACATCTGTGGTGTTTGCTGTAATGAGGTGTGGTAATCAGTTGCTCACCCATAAAACATGTGTTATAAGGATGTTGTTAAATGATTTCAATTTGGTCTAAAAACGAGCAGAACTTGTACTAATTGATCGAGATACTTAAATACATATGTTTGATATATAAAAAAACGCACAGGTTAATACAAAGATGTACTCATGAATACAAACATTTATATAAATAAATCGTAGCCATCAGGTGATGCAATGTGTAAACCGCTATACTATCCTGGTTAAGTTAACCAGATTATGATGAAAGTTATTTTTTCTGTTCTCAGTTGGCAACATTATACACATATCATTCAATATTCTTTTATTATTTTTCAGATTACCTCCTTCGTCTAAGTCCGCCAATCACAAAATATGACTTTACATTTACGTTACGTGGTACAGAAGGCTTGTGCGATTTATTTGATATACCTTGTTAAACCCCTATCAAAATTTAGTTTTTATAAAACTTTGAAGGACATTATACTCTTTGTTTTTTGATCATGTTGAAATTTATGTATGTAAATAGTACTTGTAAATATAAAGAAAATATATTACCCTATTGGATATTAATGTGAATATAAAATAAAATAAATTTTATGACTAAACAGTTATTATTATTATTTCCTAGATTTAGGTTTGGATACAAATCGGTCTAGAACTCCAAATGATTGTTGTGGTGTAGTTTGTTTTTCCGATAAATCCAACATTTTCTGTGCTTTAATAGCTTGTGCAATGAATTCCTGAAATAGAAAAAATGTACTTGCATAGTATACAAATTATATTTTTATAGAATGACTCAAAAAAAGTTAAGAGGTTGTTTATTACCTTTCTAGTCGTGTCTTTAATGATTTTTTTCCTTGCAATGTTGGTTTTACCTTTATTCTTGCGCCGCGGAGTCGTATCTACTTTTTTAGGTTTTAGATACTGTAAAAATATTGTTTATTTAGTAAGAAAAAAGGATAATTATAAATAAATAACATAATGATGTTATATCATGACATGAGTTCATGACTATAAGCCCTAATAAGGCAGTCAGATATTTATCAACTATTGCTATTTTACTGAATGTTGGACGCTCAAATTTAAAATTAATTGTGACAGGGGAGCGAACCTACAGCCGGGATTTCTTTATATTTGGAAATTTTCGGGGTAGACATCATTGGTTTATGGGAATAATATCAACGGTCAGTTAGTTTTAAATGTATGTCAGATTGTTGAAGAATCATATTACTAAAGATATTGTAAAGACAAACCAATAGTTTTTTCTTGGCTTCCATCTGTTCTTGCATCGTGGGTACATCTACTTCTGTGACCTCAAATGGATTAAGAGTAATAAGCTCGGCAGGAATTTTCTCAAGCAATGCTTTGACTTCTGCCTCCTTCCTTTGTTTTTTGGTTTGGAATGGATTGCTCTCTAAAGCATCAAAGTTGGGTTCTCCAGATCCTGTCGAGAAAAAAAAATAGTTCAATATGAATCTGAAATACAATTTTTTTTTACCAATACATCTATAATCATAAATAATAAAGGTCTCATCATGAAACAAGTGTATTTTTTATTATCGGAATGATATTGCAGCAAATATGTTTTGTTTATTAATTAGTGTTTATCATAATTATTTAGCTTATCAATCATTCATTGTTTTATGTATTGTTGTTTTTCAACATTTCACCCTAATGAAAGTCTTAAGCCAATAAATATTTTCAAGATAACAGCAATAATTTTGTGGGATTCTGTCTTGTATTAACACAGGTAAACATTTGGGATTCTTTTTTATATTCAAGCTTTTAAAGCTTCTATATTTTCTTATTTATTTATTTTTTTGTATATTTTTAAGTTTATGAATATTAATATTTACTGACCTGGTACTATAATACTGGTGAAACCTCCACTTGTTCCAATTCCTAGTACATCTTCATAAGGACAGAACTTGAAATTATTGATGGATTTAGACATTCTATGTCTTAAATAAGGTCTACTTGCTGTTTTAGAACAACAATCACTGGAAAAATAAAAAAGTTTGAATATTATCGAGTTAAAAACAACAAATCTAAATCTGTTGAAACTAGTACATTAAAATATAAGGCAAGTCAAATGTATTCACCACAACACACAGTGGTTAACTAAGGGTCTCTGCAGATAATAGTCATACTTGTATGTACGCTGTATACTAACACGACATTTTAAAATGCAATTTTTGAAGTTCTATTATGACCCAATTAAAATTTACGCCCAGGATTCTCGTCGTACTCGTCTGGGGAGAGAAGGTAAACAATGGGAAACGTTATCTGCAGACAAAATGTCCCTTGTTTACACAGGTCATAATGCTTCTAACTATTATTGTAGGTCCAATGATCCTACTAAAAAAAACATACTTGTATACTTCTACAACTTCTCCAAGGCCAACGGCTAACATATCTTTTTGTGAGAACTCTAATTCAACTGGAGCACTTCTTAGTCTATAATCTTGCAATGGGCCATCTAGATTTCTTATATCCCATATTTTCATACTACGGTCTACTCCAGATGTGGCCATGTACCTGAAAATTCAAATTAAGTTAAAAATTATTAAAGTATTGGTTCTATTTAATTTTTTCTTTTAAGCGTATACATTGCCTCCCTGATAAATGTCAATTTGATGAATTATTTTTAAGTTACTTCGAAGGATACCGAGTCCGTCTGCATTTTTTTTATGAACATAAACAGAAAAAATTGCAGGCGAATTCAATCTTAGCTAATCCTTATCAGTTTTGACAATTTATATTCAGTAGGAGTTACTCTCTTGTTGAGAATAATAAGTTATTAGTATATCTGATCTGATAAAGTATAGGGTAACTATCTTCTATAGACGTGAATAGCGTTTTAGCATTATAGAATGCTGTGTGTGTGTGCGAACATAGCTTTTTGTTTATAATTTGATAAATGTCAATTTAATTATAATAATTAACATACATTCCTCTATTATCCACGGCAACAGCTGTTAATGGGGTTTTATGACACAATATTTTTGCCAATGGTTCCTTGACAGTTGGTGACCATAAAGATACAACTCCCTTTGAGTTTCCTAGGCAGATAGTAGCATTGTAAGGATTTTGGGTCATTACTGACGTCCTACCACAACGATTATTATAATGGCCAACTACTTGTCCAATAGATACATCCAGCCACGTCATGAAACCATATTCATTCTGTAATAAAAATGCAAATTTTAAATATGTAAAAATTAACAGATTTTTTTATCGTATTAGACATAAATTGTCCACTACTGAACATAGTCTCCCTAATAAGGGGGGGTTTTGCCAGTAAGTGTGTTGGCAACCTCAGTTTGTCTTTTGGTGATGTTTTAAGAGTAACAATGCTGCCCATTTTTCGATCATAAGTTTTCTTAGTCGCCTCTTACGACACCCATGGGAAAGGAAGGGGTGGCTTTCTTTATGCCAGGATCTACAAGGTTTATTAACTGATTGCAGGAGTATTTTATTAGTTTTTAATGGCCTTTCTAATGTTTTCTTATTGCCGGTATCGGATCTATTGAACGTGTATTAATTTAGAAAATCATATATGGATAGATGCCTATGTTATGTGTATTATTACAATAAAATTAGATGCAATTTATAATTACTTAAAGGCTTTAATTTTAAACAATATATTGAAATTAATAAATTATACAATATATATATACATACCACAGCTGCTAACAGGAAGTGATAAGGCAAGAATTCCATTCGTAAAATTTTATCCATATTTTTTAAGCAATGTATTTCAGTGCCTGTGTTGTCATAGATGTATAACCATTCCTTCTGAGCTACTGCTAACATTGTCTCAATATGTAGCCAACTGCAGAATAAAAATATTATACATTAAATATAAGTATAAACGGTTAGTTTTGTATTGACACTTACCTCAATGTATATTTATGAGGTAGGAATATTTGTAAAAAAACATTTGTATTTATTTACAACAATGACAGAATATAATAGACCAGAGACCCCACAAAACTGAAACTACCCACTTGTAAGTCAACGCTGCATCAACAAAATTGCGGTGTAATGGCTATTCAAATTTATAATAGGATACCAAAAAAAAATAAGAGAATTGCCATTAAATTATTTTAAATTAAAATTGAAAACATGGTTAATAGAAAATAATTTTTACAATATTAATGAGTTTTTGTAAGATATAAATGCTGTGACATTGACTTAGTTTGAAATTTAAATTGTAATTTTAATTTTATTTGACATTTTTATCATTTTATTATTTATAGTAGCTTTATTGACTGTTTGTAATGCATGACCAAAGTGACACTTCGTACTAATAGTGATTTATTGTATATGTAATCGAAAATTAAATATATGATGTACCTGTATAAAATAGCCAATGGATAAATTCAATAATTAATATTTGCATGCCATTTGATGTGGCGAAACATAATGGACATCTTATAAACTTCACAAATGCAACACTTTTTCTACAATGTTTCTAGCAAATAAATTTCATTTCAATTTAATTTCATTTCATTTCAATTATTCACTAATATAATGAAAATGATCCTATTAATTAGGCTGTTTCTATTTTACATAAGACATTAAAAACCTATAACATTTTATAACAGTAAACCAACTTTTTCATATATTTGTAAACTAGACACATCCTGTGGCTTCGCATACGTGAATCAATGTATACTTTGGATTATGAAGTATATAGATTGGAGAAGAGATAATAACATATATGTTAGAGTGAAATAGACAAGTAGGACACTTATTTACACAATATATGCTAACAAGTTATAATTATTTTTATGTTTGCATGGCTGTATTTCGGTTTGAGGGGTGGGATATGGTAGTGAATTTAGAGGGTACAGAGGAAAAACACCTGAGTCCTCAGAAATGACAACACATTGGAGATATCATGGGTGAAACAGTATACTCTGTTATGTCTACAGTATTGTTCATGTCTATAGGCGACAGTTACTACTTTCATTAAGTGGGCTGTCAGCTTGTTTACCATTCTAAGTAGCATAAAAAAATAACAACTTTTGCATATATAATATTACTATTTTATATTTGTTTATAATAATACTAAATAATTAAGTATATAACTTCATATACCTTATATCATGTATAGATTCCATAACATTTATTTCACAATGCAATTTCTTCGTAACCCAATCAAAAGCTGCCAAATGCCCTCTTTTGCCACCAAGAAGTAAATGTCTGCCATTTCGAGAATATTTTGCTCTATATGAACCAAAATCTAATTTCAGATCAAATATCTTTGTTGCTGCTGCTATGTCCACATTGTTAGCTATTATACTTTGTGTTATTGCTGTAGTTTTCCTGTTCTCTCCAACGTCTAGAAAGCTTAAGAAATACAATCATAAGTACATAATTTGATTTTGTTATAATTAACTTTAGTACAATTCATAAACATTATATAGTAATATTCATATTAAAAACTAGATTTTACCTGTATTTTCTATGCATAGATTTTGGAAGAAGGAAAATAAAATAAATCACTTCTAGATGGTGTACTAAGATAAAACTTAAGTACACCAGATTTAGGAACACAACTGATGAAATCGAATTTAATTTGGTTCAGTAGTTTTTGTATGATGCCAAAAAAAAAACATACAAACAGACAGATGGACTAGTAAAACTTCTCAAGTTTTGGTCTCTATTTTTCTAATTAAGATTCCTCATATAATTTTTTTTAAATATCTTCTACATAAAAACATTACTGCACTACTTACCCAGTCTCTTCTGTCAGCAATATCTCAGCTCTAGCTGCTTCTTCTTCAGCATAGTTATGTTTCCGTTCTTTTTTCTTCAGTTTTGCAGCATGAAGTGGATGCCTTACACCTTTTCCAATTCCTTCGCCTCGAGAGTATTGTTCCAACTTCTTTTTATTAATGGGAGCTTTGCCTCTAAATATCTTTTTATTTTTTTTAATCTCATCTCTATTAGTTTTGTAATTTTTCTAATAAAATAAGTAATAATTAGTGGCGTAATTATATTATCTGAGGCCCGTGTTAAATTCATAGAATGGGGCCTTCCTTTATTTAAATAGAGATTATGTCACAGTATCTGTTCTGATACTTCCATAATCAAAGATATTCATATGAAATAAGCATAAAACTAATAAAAATGGGACAAAACGAATAAAGAGCTACAAAATACTTACATTAAATGATTGAGAGGGTTTCACTTTGTATCCCGGTTTAATTTTAATATTAAAAATTTGAACATTGTCATTCTTTTCCGATTTTGTATCTTGAGTGTTTTTCTCGTCTACATCGTAGTACCGTTTCTACAACGTTAGAGGTTATATTTACAACTATTCATAAGAAATAAAAATATTACAAATATAAAATTATTCTCACCTCTTTTCTAACTTTCATGGTATAAGATTTTTAATTATGATTTATATTATTTAATTGAAAAAACTTTTTAAACATAACACGTGACTTTTGTTTAGATCGCTAGCCAAGGCCTGTTTTGATAACATATTACAGATTACAGAGACTGCGTCCAAAGACAGATAGGAATATCTTACAGAGTAATTTGTACGTTAGTGATTTCACATTTCAAAGAGAGACCAATAAAAGAGTTATAGCTATCGATAATTGTCGCTCGAAATACCGATAATAGTGTTGTGCTACCATATTGATATTATTGTTCTAATTTAGTATAAAAATTTTATATTTAGACATTTGTAACAATAAAAACAATAGAAAATATAAATAAATGCTACCTAAATAATCTTTACACATACATTTGATGAGATGTGAGCCATTTAAACATTTCATTGGATGTAATGAGTACAATTGGCCTTTATAGGTTACTTAACATTATTACTTAAAAAGTTTAAAGGGAGCTGCTGAAGCTTAGCAAATTGCAGTGCTTATGGATTATTCCTTATTATTATTCCTTATGGATGTTCCTTCAGCACTTAATATAGATGTGAAATATTAAAGTTTTATGTTTAGTAAAACTTTTCTTTTTAAATATAAATTCTCCATATCATTTTCACAATTTGTATAAATTAATATAATACAATATATAAAATACATAGATTTTAAAATAATTAATAAATTAGTCAAGTTCGTTAGATTTTTACCGCATAATTTTTCAATTTCAAAATTGAAATTAAATTGACTAACAATCATGGAACAACTGAATTACATAAATAGGAAATTTACAGAATAAAAACTACAAAAAAAAAAAAGAAATTAAATACATAAAAGATCATATAATACATTATTAGGTCAATCTTCACGCGATTCTCCCTAAAAACCATCGTAGTTAATTCCTGATTAGTTCATCACAATGGGCTATCTGACTTGTTTTTATCCTCACCTATTATCTTCCATCCTGCTAGAGTATACCGTTAGCGTAGGCGGGGTTACCATTTCATTATTATCCAATCCCATTATAAAAATAAAAATACGCATCACTATGTAGTTTCTTTAATAGATAGTACGTTATGTCTATGGTAGTTTGTGATTATACATCATGGGTGTTCCACTAGTGTATATTGATAGTGTAGGCTGCCTTATCATTTCATTATCACTCATTAAAAAAAATATGCCTCAAGATAAAGGGCTACATTCTGATTATATCTGCATTTAAGGATAGACTTGAAATTTGAAATATGTCTTCATTATTACAATCATTAAATATGGTCGCTATTTTGATTAATAGGCCTACATATATTTTTTTAGTAAGCGTATAAAAATATTATATTATAATAATATACTATTAATAAAAAATAAATTAGTTACCTGTGGCGTAACTCGCGTCAAGTAGAATATAAATATCCTCTTTGTTAAGATATAACATTTAAGAATATAATCTACCCGACATCAAACTTCATTCTAATCCGTTCAGCCGTTTAAGTTTTAAGCGTGATTGAGTAATATTGAAACATCCAAACATTATTATAAATTTTCACATTTATAATATTGGTAGGATTGTATAGTACTATTACTTATATTATGTTTTTATATTATTGAGAAACATAATGGTAAATTGATTATGAATTTTGAATATAATTACTTGCAACCCCGAAAATTAGAGTGCATTATTTTGTCTTAAAATTATAGGTAGGTTATTTGTAATTTTTTTTAAATAAATAATTGAAAACAAATACTGTGCATGCGTATTGCACCAGAAGTTAGAAAACTATATCATAGTGGCCATTTGTTCTATACAAAAACACTTTTTTCATAGGTCTAATCCGAGAAAATACTATTAAAAATTTACTTTTACAAGGTTTAGTTGCCAATTTTATTGATATCTAATTTTTTACCTTTACTTGATGCACTTGTATTTCAGGAGTAGAAAAACTAATTAAATAGACTACTTTTAGACGGCGTACCAGATTTTAAGTTATACTATAAGGATACAACTGTGAAAATCCCATGCAATTTGGCGCAGTAGTTTTTGTGTGATGCCGGAACAAACATACAGACAGACAGACAAAAATTATAAAACGTATAGTTTTGGCATCTATTGGTTTATTAAGACCCCTGATATACATTTTTTTTTTAAATATTTCCCATGTACAGACATTGTCTAGTTACAATTTTATTACATTATACGCATATAGTAAGATCAAAACAAATCTCAAGTTTGAAGGTTTAAATTGTATAACTCAGCATTATAAACATATGTAGGCAGATCAAAAAGTATATAATGAAAATTAATTGGGTAGATAATAAAATACGACCTCAGTATTTATTATTTTTATTCTCTTTAACAACACATACTCAATATTTTACAGAAACGTATATGACAATCAGAGTAAGTAGTAACATAGTAATAGGTTTTAGTTTTTAAATGCGAATATTATTCATTTCTGTGTATTGGTGTGAATGTAAATAAAAAATTTGATAAAAGAAAAAAAACAAATTGTTATGTAAAATTACAAAAACAACGATTGCACAATGTTCGCGTGAGGAGCAGCGTTGTAACTGAATATATTGCAAATTAACATTTAACTTCATTAATTAAGCTATCACAATTTGTAAAGGTAACAATAAATAAGTAATAACACGTAACATAATCACAGCAAAGTGAACATTGGCTAACAAAGAAAATTTTAGTTTATCCTCTAAAATTGGTTATCAATTAATGAGTGAATTATTAACTTACTCGATCTAATGAGATCTCGTTATTTACTAATACAAATAAAAACGTCCCTATGACGCGACAACTATTATTCACAATTATTTACAAAACTGACTAGAAAGAGCTTATTATTCTTGTTTACATCGTTCATTATTCTCTATGTCAATATTTTAGTCTTAATACACCAGCGAGCGAGTCTGCGATAGCTGCTGTGGTTGAGAAGCGTTTGGCACAATCCCAGTAGGTATGTGTGAGAACTTAATGTCTGATAAATTTCATCTTACACACTATTTATTTGGTTTCATAAAAATCTGGGTCTGTATGAGTTCGTAATTTCACTAAAACCGTAACCATTTTCATGACAGTTTGATATATTTTATTTATATCGAGATGTACTTAGGTACAATATTTACATAGCCGAATTAACGCGTTTGTGGGGCTAAAATCGCTTACATACAGTAGTATAAACTTCTCCCTAACAATTAGGTAGTTTAATTTTAAGCATACGAGTAACAGTGTTTAAAATTTATTTAGGTCTATATTTAAGTCCACCTTATCGATAAAAAGTCGAACGAATCTTCAAGTGTTGACGTGATGTCATAAAGAAGTCACACATCGTATACAACGGTTTATAAAATAGACATCGGTTGCTTAATAATTAGAACACACACGTCCCGATGGCACCGCGGCATGGGTTATCTACGTTATGTAGTGAAATCGTAATATCTCCTCACTAATTAGTCAAATAGACAATCTTTGGTAAAATAGCTTTGAGACACTCACGAAACACAAGAATTGCACTAAGTCCACTGAGTCAGATACGCAAGCTCCGCCGATCGCAAACGCGACGTCCTATCATAGTTCACTGTCGTTCAGTATCGGCGGCGCTTTGTGAACCTTAAATAGGTGTTGGGAGCACTGTGAAGTCCTGAAGCGCGCTTTTAACAGTTTCGTAGATGGGGCGATTCTCGTCGGGGCAGTAGCCGTCGGGGGAGCACAGAGTCTGCAGTTTGGTGAGATAGGAGTCGAAGTTGTCATGGGCGGGTTTCTCGCCTGGTCCGGGAGGAGGCGCTGCGCCTGGTGGGCCTGCACTGGTTACTGGCACCGCTCCCCCCGCACCGCCCGCACCCCCGCACCGCCGGGGATGCGCACATGTTCTAGTAGTGTGATCACGTTGTTGCGAAGACTTTCGTAGTACTCGTTGAGGTTGTTGTTCCTTTGAGATATTAGTTGCTGCTCCTGGAAAGACGAGAAATACTCCTTTAACAGACTCTTATTGGTACCTAACAAATATTTTTGTGGTGACTGGTGATTGGTGACTCAAGACCTATCTGCTATTCAGTGAGTTTCTATTTGCACAGAGTTGTTACTGAATCGTGGTACCATAGACTAAATAGTAATCAATGGTACTCACGAATGTTTTGTGATGTTAGTAGCACTCAAAGTTGGACGTTTGAAGCCATGACAGTACCATCTAACATAGATCAAACAAAAATATAGAATTATAATAAGTTGGTATATTTTGTAATAACTGATTGTATATTTACAATAACTAAGGGAATTTTGAAAACGCACCTTAAATAACTTAATAAATGTTGAACTTACCCTTTCTCCGTGATTTAGGTGCGTCTCCATCGCATTGATATCTGATTTGAGGCGAATCATTTGCGACTCCACTCGAGCGTTTTCACGTTGCAATTCTGTTATCTCCTGTTCAAGAGCCATCAAATCTTCGCCGTTCCCAGTCTGCATGTTCATCTCCATACCTATGTAATGTAATAATTATCGTTCAAAATACATTTTAATATTTCTAGTAATAGATTAAAGAGTGTTAAATATTGAATTTGAGTGTTTTTTATTTATAGACTTCGGAGAAGAAAAAACGATCTGATGACCTAATTGATGTAAAGCGAGTGGGTAGCCATTTTTCACAGACAGGTATCTTAAATTTTATGTATGTCTGATGTCTTCTATTATATGCTACAACATTACCGTTCCTCTACAATTAGGGTGATACTGCTCTTATATTAAATATTGCGCTGTATATCTTACACTAATAAAAAAAAGCCCACCTAATTGAGGCATCTCAAAGCTTTTAAATGTAAGGTTTTGAGCTCTACCATTCAGTGAAACATCTATAAATAAATGACATTCAACAAAAAAAAGTACATACCTGAATAAGGTTTGGGGTAGAGAGGCGTTATATCATCAGGATATTTTGGTTTCTTTGGTTGAGGTGTGGGTGTCGCGGCGCCAGCAACTGGACACCCTGACAGGGACCTATGTGTGAGGAACGAGCCGTTTATATGACCCGAGCCGTCACAACCGGGCGTTGGACAGTTCACCCCGTCGAACTTGATGGCCGATGCCGCCGCTGCAACGGCCGCCTTGTGCTGTTCCACGGTCCCACCGCTTTCCAGCACTCGCATCTTGTTGCGATTCGCAATCGGGCAACCAGAGGCACTGTTGAGTGAAAAGTTTTGAGTACTTTTAAATATGTTTTTGGCATTAACAGACGGATACAACATGGTGTTGAGTTTTGTTAACTGCTCTACTAAATACTTATTGTGATCATAGTTGTGTTATTATCAATATTAATAATATCAAAATCGATACCGTCTGTCGACATATAGAAGTAGAACGAATTCTGAATTTTTTTCGAAGGTTTAATAAGCGTTTACGTTTATACGAGTGCATTAGAGGTAGTATAAGTAACAGTACACAAATTTTTGGATAAATAAAAGAGGTGATGCGTGAATTTGCGATACAGGCTACAATATGTCAACTTATGTTTAATATCCATCTGATTTTATCAGTTCTACGTCTTATTTATTAATGTACATAGATTTTTTATAAAGTCTACTTATCTAAAATCTACGTCAGTAATATTACTCCTGTGTTTGTACTCTTACCTTCGATGCGACAAGAATTTCCCTGTAGCGTGTCCAGACCCGTCACAGCCCGGTATTGGGCATCTAAGCAGCGTGTAAATAACCAACAAACTTATTGTGAAGTTGTAACGTAGGCAAGTATAGAAGTTTTTGTCCGTATCAGTAAACAATCGTATTGCAGTATAATGCTCAAGGACACTTCAACGTTGTAAAAATATTCACGTAAATAAGTAAAAAAAATAACAACCATAAGTATGCACGTTGAAATTTTACATGTCAAGAGCATTAACCTTATTAGATATATTATGAGATGTGTTGCAATTAACGATTGTAGTATCTGTGTCGTTTGCAATGCTTCATATATGTTGAATACAGAATTTAATATCATTAGTTTATTGACATACTCTACCTACATATTGCCAGGCTTATTACCTAAGCAGTCGACTGTACTAAAACCGATAACAAATAATAGGAAGGAAAATAATTCAATTATAATAAATATATCATGTACCTCCTACCTATATGCATACAATGTATACTACTAATTTTATTCTCAAATGTTAGCGTCTATGCTTGTATTAGGTACCTATTATGAAAGTAAGTACAAATAATGTAGATATTATCATATAGGTATGCATCAAGATACCTATTCGTGTAATCTAAAATCTCTTATTTACAATCTATATAAATAAATGAAGGGAAAGGTGTTTTATAATTAGGTAAAAGTTATAAGTAGAAATGTAATTAATAGCCGTCTTTCTCGTCTCGACATTTAACTTGATTAAGTTAATCCAAATTTTTATTCTGTAAACGTAACTAAACTCTAAATTATATAATTAGAATATGATGAATAGTTATTTTACCTCAGAGGTTCAGAGTCCTGTCCGTCTCTTGGTTTGCTCTTTGGTTTGTTAGCTCTCGGACAACCAGATAGCGAGCGGTGTGACGAGTAGTTGCCGGTCACGTGCCCAGAGCCATCGCACCCTGGTGTAGGACACTTCAACTCCTGAGAGTGTGGCTGAAGTTGTGAGCGGTCGGCGCGCGGACATCCCGATAGGCTGCACATATACAAACTGCTTACAATGGCGTGGCGGGGCAACATGCCAAAAAGTTGGCTGCACATGGAAATTGCTTGCAATGGCGTGGTGGGATAATATGACAAAAACTTGACTGCACATGTACAACGCGTACAATGGCGTGGTGGAGTAATATGCCAAATGTTGGCTGCACATGTACAACGTGTACAATGGCGTAGTGGGGTAACATGGCAAAAAGTTGGCTGCATATGTACAACGCGTACAACAGCGGGGGAGAGGATTGTTAGTTATGCGGACTGTGAGTCCTATTGCTAGCAATATGCCTCATAAGGTCGTCCTCCACGTGGTTCCCCCTGGGAAACCGCCGTGCTGAATTTCTGGTGTATTCATCACGATGGGCTAACTGGCCTCCTTTTTTATTCTCACCCATCACCCCTCACTGGTGTTCCGTCAGGGATACCGTTAGCGCAGGTGGGGTAACCATTTCATTAATCATCAATAAAAAAAAAAGGATACAATAGCATTGTCCAATATGCCAAAAAGTTGGCTGCACATGCATAACGCTTACAGTGACGTGGCGAAGTAACATGTCATTATACTAGGTGCCTATTGGTTGGATTTATAGTTTGTATAATTACATACGAATAAATATACCTCACTCAAATAGATATATGAGTCCTACGTAGTTTTAAATGACACATAATAAGAAATATTTATTGAAGAATAATGAGTTCTCATATTGAATATTATTGTTACGTGGTTTTACACAACAAATGGATTATTACCGGTACGGTTTGTACTATACGTTTAAACTACAAAGTACAGTCATGTATCTATAAATATATATACATTTGTTAACTCGGCTATATTATGTAAGTACGATGTTTAACGTTTGAGTTGATGAACCTTTTAGTATTTATTTAGGTATCTATAATAATGAAAATATTTAAATACGACTCGGTGTATTTAATATTTTGTCACACTAGCAGCATCACAATTAACGTAATATAATATACTGTATGTATCTACTTAAGTCTTTAATTACATCAAATTAAAGGCTTGTCTGTAAATTAATATTATATTTTAACTATATAGGTATATTTATAATAGTTACCTGTTCGATTTATTAGCATTAATTATAAATTTATATTTTAAGTATTTACTTTAAATAATCAGTTTGACATATACATAAGTATTTAACATTAGTAATTATATATCTATTTATTATTATTATTGCAAACTAGCCTATGTCCTTCTCCTTCCAAAACAATCTAAGTGTATATCAAATTTTATGAAGATCGAGTAAGTCATTAAGTTGTTAAGAGTTAACAAATAAATAAACAAACAAATTCACTTTCATATTCATGATATAACCTTTTACAACCTGAACGACTTCACCAATTGTGATTAAATTTGGTATATATGTACAATTAGGCATAAAGAAGGACATAGACTAATTTTATCCCAGCCAATCAATATGATTATCAGTCACGTGAACGAAGTCGCGGGTAAAAAATAGTAACTAGTATAAAATGCTCTACTGGTCCACAAAGTGTATGAAGTAAGAACGAATATCTATGTCGTAAATCATACAGTATTATAATTATTTAAATTGGTTTTACTCACGTATTAACTTTGGGGTTACCCAACTAGTTATGAAATTGATAGGAGATCATATTCATAAGCACAGTAAGAGTTATATATAAATAATTATAATAAAGTAAAAAGGAAGTTAATTTTTTTATGCAATTTACAATGGCAAACAAGCTGACGGCCCACCTTATGGGAAGTGGTAATCGTCGCCTATAGATATGAATAGATTCTCTTTTATAAATACCTATTTCAGTCAAATACCAAATAAAATATATTTAAGAGGTACTATCCTTTCTATGTATATATAGTTTACAGATTTTCTGGTAATAAGAAAATCCAATTGTTGCGCATGGATAGGTTTCCGAAGAATAAAAAGTCATCTTTTTTGTTAGATTTATATTTTACTGTATTCTTAAAACAGTCAGGTCTAAATATATCTATTATTATTGAGAAATAGGCTTTTTCAAGTAGAAAAAAGTGTAACATTGCGACCTCTGTGATTTTTTGTGCTAACCCTTTTTAAAGTAGGCGGCTAATTTCTGTTAATGATGATGTTTAAGATGTTCTTAGCAACGATGTTTTTTTTATATCCTTACGATATAAAGTATTTTACAAAGGAGATATATTGTTTATGTATAAGTGGGCTATAGTCGCAAATTATATGCTGTGGTGTTTCTTCTTCATCTTGACAAAATAAATAGAAGCTATCTACTTACTACCATTTTTTTTGTTTAAATATAGTATCTAAGAATAAAAGATATTTGAATAATAGATATTAGAGTTATATTGATGTAAGTTATTGTGTTATCAGTTTAATGTGTTAGTATCTATTATAATGTAATGTAGGACAAAGTTTTTACCAATGTCTTCTTCCGCATGGCTAGGATAATATCATGATTAACCACGATAAATGTATATCCGTTTTCTTCCCAAATATTATGCGTAAGCTAATTTACAATGATTATTCATAATTTTAAAAGGAGTTAATAAACAGAGATAAATGATTACAAATTGGTATCCCAAATACAAAATACAGTAACCGAAAGTGAGGCAATTAAAAAGATGGGAAGACGACGTAAAAGCCATTGCTGGAAATACATGGTCAAGGTCAGCTAGAAACAGAGAAGGATGGAAGGAATTGGAAGAGGTCTATGTCGAAAAAGGCAAACGGATACGATTGTCGATGTAATACGAGGTCTGTCCGGAAAGTTCGTATAAACTGGAATGCGAGAAAGATAAATTATGTCCCTAACAATGCTTCAGTTCTGGTCTGACCGCCGTTCCACGCCAAATACAACGAAACCCCGTCGGCAACAGCGAAAGTGAGGCAAGAATTGAAGAGAACAATTTATGGGGATGATGCTGTGAAGGAACCAACCGTCCACAAGTGGCTAAAAAGATTAAGATAGGGCCGAGAAAGAGTTCGAGGTTCGGGGGATTGTCCATCAAGAATTCGTCCCTCCAGGCCAGACAGTTGATGGAAAATTCTACGTCGATGTGCTCAGACGCCTCAAAGCTCGTGTGGCACGAGTTCGTCCAGAATTGGCGCGGGAGGGGCGTTGGATTCTTCACCACGACAATGCCCCTGCCCACACCTCTCTTGTTGTCCGTGAGTTTTTGAGTAAAAATTCCATTACGACCGAACACCCCCCTATTCGCCGGATTTGGCCCCGTGTGAAAAAACCAAATTGGTACTTCGGGGGCGGCATTTGGGGGACATAAATGAGATAAAAAAAGCTACGACGGGGCAGCTGAGAAAACTACAACCAGAGGACTTTCAAGGAGCCTTCTCACAGTGGAAACGGCGTTGGCACAAGTGCATTATGTCAAAGTGGGAGTACTTTGAAGGGGATAAAATTGATTTACCTGAATAATTGTAAAATAAAATTTTTAAAAAACTTTTATACGTACTTTCCGGACAAACCTCGTAGAATAAATTAACTAGAAATAAGAATAAATATTATTATCCGAATTAAAGGCAATTATTATTTGTTTATTACTAAAGTTTATAACGATTGGTTGAGTTGTTAAGGGATGGAACAAATTCATTTTTACATCTATAATATAAATAAGGATAAAGTTATTGAATTTTCTTCCTTACTAATGGAGCAGTTATTTACTTACATACTCTTTTAAATTATGATTATTAGTGCACAATTTATGCAGTAAATTATATTTGGCCTCGTATATAATATTTTGTATGTATAAGTAATGAGAGTGCTAGCTTTACTGAACATGTGTAAGTAGACGGTGGTATTGATAAAATTTATTTATTTATTTAATATTTTTAGTTAAGTGCAATTTATATAATAAAAGAAAAATTTAATGCAAATATTTATTTTCTAGAAAATCGAATGAATAAATGAATGAGTATACTTTATTTGCATTATACAATATAGGAAATAAGCAAGTCAATTTACAAGTGATGTTTTGTCTAGATTTGAGGCGTAGAGGCATTTACACAAACTGCCTGTATTTTAGAATTTAAAAAGATCGATATTTCAAATTAAATAATGTAACTTTATTTCGGTAAAATAAAAAATAAAAAGTATAAAAAACAAATGATACCATCTTAGATCAGAAAAACCATTACGTCAAATAAAATTTAATATACTCATATTAATATTATATTTATAAAATTTTAGTTGCATCGTGTCATAATAACTGTCGGTGTAAATGGGTCGTCAAGCACAATACTGAACATGGTAAACTTGGCATGCGGTTATTGTGTTCTGCAGTTGAATCTCGCGAGACTTCAATTGGGTTCGGAAATGCGCAAATTGTCGTTCAGGGGCGCATTCGTCGCTGCGCTCTGATATCACCGCGTTTCACGAATATTATACCCTTTTATAAGGTTGGCACAAGCGTGATTTAAAATAATGTTATTATTAGTTTTAATATTCGCATTCAAGCAATTTATACTTTATTCGATTATTTCTTTCGTATATTAATTATTCTAAAAAAGTCTAATATAATAGTATTATATTATGTTTATTAAACTTTCAAATAAATAATTAATAATATATATTATTAGACATCAGTACACCTTCTGTATTGTGGCCTAGTAAATAGTGTTAGTATGTTAAAGTAAGATATATGGTACTCTCTATTGAGATTGTGGAAGTAGTTTAAATTACATTAAGTTGAGCATTATTTGTAATTGTTTATAATTTATACTCATATTTTCAACAGGTTTAAGGACGCGGCAACCCTATATGACAATATTGCCACCGCGAAAATACGTGTGTACCGCACGGATATTGGCGCTTGCCTGCGGTGCGTAGCGAAGTTGCCCGATATGTGACCGGAGCCGTCGCAGCTCTCGACGGGGCACTGGATGAGCTCCCTCGATTCCCGAATCCGGTAACCCAGTTTGCCGTAAAAGTCGTCGCGATGGAAGCTAGTATGAATAAATACATACGTATTCATATAAAACAACTCAATATGAACAAAAAAGAAATTACACAACTAAAAATAGATAATACTAAATGAATATAAAATTAAGATTGTATAAGAGCGACCTTAATTATATGCTCACTCGTAGACATACTCCACAAAGTCGTAGAGTGCGCAATGTATCAGCATGGTGTTCTAAATAAAGAATAAACAAAGTTCTATCTTTAGAAGATCGCTATCTACACGAAGTAAGCACCAAATGTTTACAAAATTATTAATATTATTACTCATTGTTGTTTACACGTCTTTAAAATTCAAATGGAAAACTATTTCAAACTTTTATAAACTTTTGTATCTCACCTGTTTCGCTGCATATCTGTGCACTTTGTGATGTTTACGATATAAATAACACTATAAAAACATTAAATGTGCGTATATCTTATCGTTCAAAAAGTTTATCTAGTTATGCTGTTAATGTGCGCATAGCGTGGAGCGCGCCTGCGCTCGCGCAGGTATATTTAGACTGATCCGCCGAGTGTGACTGGGCTGCGTTCGAAAACGTTCTGTTGATAATTTTGTAGCATTTTTATAACCTAACGCTTGCAATAATTACACGTGGTTATCGAACATGAATTTACGTTCTGTTAATAAATTTAAATAACTTATGTTACGTAATGCAATAAGATTTCAAATTGTATTTTTAGATGTATTCTTTTTATTTATATACTTCCGTATTCATAATAATATGTTTATAAACAAAAAAAGCATATCGTATACAATACTCAATGTACTTAATACTTAATAGTGTAGATGTATGAAAGATTTTTAATTCGTCTTACGTATAAAATATTAGGAGCGTTTCCGAACGCATCGGTCGATTGTCGCCATTGAGAAGTGAGTCAAAGTACGTTAAAGCCGTAGGTAGAGCGAGAAAGCGAAACGAACCACATACGGTTTTACTTACATCATACTTGCATGTCATTAATTTTTTTCGTAAGTAACCAAAAGTTTTACAATAAAAATAAAATGACAAATAAGCAACTCAATTATGACAAAGTTTTTATAGATATGTGTACATTATTATATACGCCTAAGGTACTTGTCAAGCGACTTCAAAAGGATTCCAAATTTGCCTAATTTATTTTCAGTGCGTTACGCTAAGATATTAATAGTTTTTTTTTTAGTTGATAGGGTTCACTTTTATAATAATAACTTTGTTACGATTGAATGGCACGATTTTTTTTTTGGGGTGGTAAATTTTATACTTTTTGCTTAGTATTTACTTACGAGTACCTATGTAATGAACAGGTAATTATTGGTATTCGATAGAAGAGTTATATTAAAATTAAAACAAATATACTAGTAGACAGATATTTATCTATCAAATAACATTTAGTATGTTTATATGTGTACTGTTGGACATTAGGATTAAATTTAATGTATAACATTTAAAAATTATACGTTGGGTAAAAATAAATGAAATAGTAAAAAAAAATTATTTAATTTAAATTTGTCTAAATAGGTATAAAGTAAAACTCAAATTATATGACTAAGTTATTAAATACTTACTTTACGTAATTATGAAATAGCAGTAGTCCATGACATCACGAACCTATTTATTTTGTCAAGGCAAATGTGCTCGAATGTGCTTTCCTTTGTATATGTTATGTCTTAGAAATGTGTTCATATTGTGAATGGTCTTATAAAGGAGCATAACAAAGCAAGTGGTTTTTAAGATCTTATTAAGTAGGAAGGTATTGATGGACTACTCTTGGATAGTATTCAATACAAACATGTTGTTTAGAAAATCAGAACCAGTAATAGTTTTTAAACTGTAGTTTAACTTAAATACAAGCTGTATTCTAGTGGAACTGCAAACAAGTGTGTTGGATTTCATAAAAGTATCTGCTTTTGTGAACTTGTTTAGTCTTTAATTACGAAGACTTTACTATTTAAATCATTTTAATTATAAATGTCAGTAAATATCTAATACAACGTCACGTAAAATATATGGGTAGCGCATATAATTATCTAGAAAATAGTATAATATAATGAATTTTGTTATCTGCTTTTACAATATAATTTAATAGAAAAATTAAGAAATATAATTATTATTACACTTTATTCTTACATTATTATGGTTTTCTAACTACTTATACAATCATGGAAAATACATACTTTATATTTATAAGATAGAAATTCTGCAGCTTATTATGGTGTTTCATAACAGGTCAATGTGATCAACAAATGCCAATAAAACTAAAGGTTAGAAACAAGTATCTACGTGAATTATACAGCCATCGTTCTTATATGGTTCGAAACATAAAAGAATGACATTGAAGTCTGGCAACAATAGACTGTGTCGGTGTTGAGATTGATTGAGTCGCTTTTCTCTAAACCTATCTTTAAATCTAATATTTTAATATGGTTGTTTTGCAAAATTACAGTTTTATGAACCACATTATTATATAATAATTTTCACTTAAATCTATTAGAAATTTAATTTACATTGATTCTTAGAATAAAGACTTCACTGTGATATTAAATGGAAATATTAATTTTAGAGAGAGCCTTTTAGTCTTAGACAAATAGCGCCTCAGAATCTTTTATGAATTTAATGTGGTAATTAAAAAGAAAGAAATGACGCCTTCGATTCGACCCTATTAAGAGAGTACATAACAAAATGTGACATTTATCTGTAAAATTTTTAAAAATAATTGAATTATTTTAAATGTTTTTGATGGATTACCTATTTAAAAAGTATTTTACCTACGAAATAAAACTATAATCACTCAGCAATATTTTTATTAAGCTGTCACTGAAAATTTGGATTTTGATAGCAATTTTTGTTAGTTTTTGAAAGTTTTAATGATATATTTATATGCAACGAATTCTATGTTTAACGTTTTGGTTAGCCAACAAAGGACTTTTTAGATAAACAATCAGAAACATTAAAAAATGTTATATATTGTTTTAAATTGATAGATAATTGCAATGTTGCCGTACTTAAACAAAAGTTATGAACACTCTTAATAATAGAACAAGTTGTATTAATCAACTAACGAACTACATTTCAACTTAATTTTTTGCTTTTGAAATTTACAATAACTTTATACTCCTTACAAAGTTGAATTAATATAATAAGATTTGAATAGCACGATAATTATTTTAGATCGTAAATGACGCTGTTTATCGGAGAATACTTTTAACCCATTTATGGATTAAGACGCAATTATGTCCCGTACCTAATACCCAAAAATTTTTCAACAAATAACAACCCTCCGTTGAATATTGGCGCAGATTTGGCTGTTATCCTTACTAATATTGTAACTGTGAAAGTGAGTTTGTTTGTATGTCACTTTTTGGAACCTTATTGGTTAATTCAATCTTCATAAAATTTTATACATACCTACGTAACAAACTATTTGAGATGATAATAGCTAATATTTATGTCAGCTAATTAACATGTCCTGGTCAACAAACGAAGTCGCGGGTAAAAGCTAGTAAGGAATAAGGGGGTGTTCAAGGCGTTCAATTTAGGGAGGGGGAGGGGGTTTTGTAAAACGTAACGATGCTTTACAGGGTGAGATGGTGGTTCGAAAAACGCGTTACGTAACATTTTTTTTTTATTTAAATAAAAAACTAAAATTCAAATCTCCATAGTTGGTAACCCTTTTCGTTTATGTTTTAAGGGGAATCCCTCGACTGTATTACACGTAATTTTTATTTTGTTTTCATTGTCACTAATTAGTTAGTGTTGAGACTTTTAGGTCAAAATAACCACTTATGTGTTAAATATCGTTTAGTGAGAGAACAGGGAGGGGTGGGCTTACAGAAAAATATTACGGCGAGTTACACAGGGAATGAAGAGTCAATAATATTCAAAAATTGCGTAATGTAATACATGAAAGTCCCATAAGGAGATGGTAACACGGTTGGTATATTCACCTGCTGTCTTTGGGCTTGTCGTGCGGCGCGTGCGGCGGTGGCATATAGCAGGGCGGTGAATATGGCGGCGCGTGCGGCGGGTACGCGGGCGGCGGGTACGCGCCGCACTGGTATTGGTAGCCGCCGTAGCCTGCCGCTGCCGCCGCTGCCGCGTAATCCGGCTGCCCGAGGCCGTAGCCCGCAACAGGATGGGGACTGACGCCGCCGTAACCTGGTGTCAAGGAAAAATCGTTTTAATTTTTTTATTTCCCAAAATTAGATGTCAGTAATGAGAACATTGTGTTATCGTATACAGCTAGCGAGACATCAATAAGAGATGATAGATGAAGATGAAAGCAGGTCAGTTGGCTCATTGTTATTAACTAATGTTTCCAGGGAGTTAATCGGGGGACCGCGTGGAGGTCGACCTGGCAGGGTATATTGTTAATGATGGGGTTCCTGTTAATGCCAATGCTTCCCTATTCTCCAATAATGCGGATTAGCAGTCCCATGAAGTTAGTCAAGCTCAATCAAATGTGACTAATATAGAATTAACTGTATTTTTTATATTAGAGCGAGACGTCCTACTTTATCGTTAGCAAAAAAAAAACGTTATATAGATATAGAAATAAATATATGAAAACCAAAGGATCGTCTTTTGTTTATATTGTATTCATAATACAAATTATGTTATTATTGTTCCAATCCTTATAAATCTACCATATTAGTAGAATATGTTGGATATTCTACTAGTATGGTAGATTTATAAGACATGATGATACTTAAAGCTTTAAAATGCACTAATACGCAAAAACCTCTGCATAGAGTACCACAGGGTCGCACAACTTAGTAACCGGCGTCGCGGCGTGAGGCGTTTGTATTAGCAGCATTACTTCGGGCGCATGTTGCGGTTCGCGGGATACAGCGGGGAGTCATTACGCGGTCGCGTTTTAATTTGTACGACGTGTTTTACGGCACCGCCGCGACGCGTCGTATGCACGGGCCTTAACCCTTACACGTATACGGAACATGTGATAGCTCATCTGGTTGATTATTGTAGGGGTGTGGAGTGAAGAATTCTTAAGTTTCATTTTAATTATTAACGCTTTCATTATATTTAATTACTAGCTGTTGTTATCCGGGCGAGATTTTGTTGGCGTGTCTTTATATTGATTTTTATTTTCTATGCGCACATTATTTGTTTTATAATAAATCTTTGTAATTGTAATGTAAATAAAGGAGATAAACTTCTGTATTGTAATAAAAATATTACCAGCTGCGTCTCGATGATAGGCTTCTAGGTATGGATGACTTCCCCCGCTGTCTGGCGTTGATTCTCGACTGTACGACACACCACCGGGGAAACTGCGACTGCATAATAAGAATAAATATTTAGAATATGTTAATTTCTGATGTGCAATGGTTTTACGAAATATTAAGTTGTCATGCTATTAGTTCCTACTGAATGCCTCACCTATGTGGTAAACGTGACACACTAAGGTCGAGGGTCTGGCCCTGCGGACTGGGCACCTGTGGACTGGCGGTGAGCTGGGGCGAAGCGCCCGGCTGTGGACTGCCTCGGGCTCCGCCCCCGCTGCCGCCACCGGCGCTCGTGTAAACCGGTGACGCATATGGACCCTGTTGTAAAAATTTACTTTTTATATTCGGGACCAGATTATTATTATAGAAATGGATTCATTATTTATATGTCTGTTTGTTGTTTATTGTAGATCTATCATAAAGTTGAATGTCTTCAAATCTCACCTGTGGACTACCACTAGACGTGGAAAGATCTATGGCCGGACGGGGATCTCTGGGATCTCTTGGCGTAGGACTGCGCGGTCGTTGCGCTTGTGCCGCCGCTATCTTCACCGAGAGGTTGATGGCGGAGAAGCCTGGGGGCACCCCGGGCCCCATTGCGCTGACGCCGCCCACTGCACCTACTCCGCTACTCGTTTCGTAGTGGTACATTGGTCTAGATGGACAGGATGGGCCGTTGAGGATCTCACTGAACGCTATGATTCTACTAAATATGAAAAAAGACGAGATACTAGGCACCGTACTGCGTAAGTAGATGCGTAATAGTCACAAATAAGCCGAATGTTTTTCGAGTAGAGAAATTTTAAGAGGGGTCTCGTTTACCACAATAGATAAGGCATTTCTAAATTTAGCTTAAGCTAATGACATGGAAGTTTTCGCAACGTACCTAGGGTAAATTGGTCCGGAGCTGGCCTCCTGTTCGGACTGGTCTGTTTTCATAGGCGTGGGTAAGTGAGGGTCGTGGTACCGCTCTTCCTCCCAGCCATACGAGCGCTGCGGACATTGTGCCGGATCATACCGCTCGAAGGCTGGAGCGCCTTCGTAGCACCGGGATTCATAACCGTACCGCGCTTCGTTCATTTGACTACGGGAAAGATGTTTAGGTTATATTGATTTGCAAGACTTATTAAAATATTATATCTTACTAATAATAATATATTATGAATACGCATGTCGTGGCGGCCTTTAATTGAGACAGCATTTTATAATGTAACCATATTATCATGTATTTTTAGTAGATATAAATGTATGCTTTGTTGGTTGTTCTTAAATAAATAAATAAAGTTAGTACGCTTCTGTCAAAAAATAAAGACTCTTAATTCTCGTGTAACACTGCATTTTTTTCCTCAGAATTTTAATACAATTATGTCATTTGTATTTCCCAATTAACAGTTATTTTTAAAGGAGTGGCTGTGTTATGTTTCTAGGGGTATTTTTTCCATGATCATCATATTAATTCCCTATTCCTGAAAATGGGTCTTTCAGTGTTTTTTCTATAAAGATAGTAATTGAAAAATATACCTGTAAGAGCGGACGTGGTCATCTAGTGGCCGCTCATACGGCGATCTCTGGTCTGGCGGCGCGCCGTAGCCGGCGTGGCGCGTCTCCATCCCGGGAGAGTCGCGCTCGGGCTCGGCGGCCTCGCGCTTAGGGACCAGCAGTTCGGGAGCTTCTCGCTTCACCGCGGGACTGCGCGGCGATGCCGCCTGCTCGCGTTCGCGCACGTTCACTGTGCTCTCGCTTGTTATTGTGATTGGAGTTTGTGGCGGCACTGTGTAGGCATAAAAAACAATTAAATCATCATCATCATTATACACGCCTTTAACTGTCCACTGCTGAACATAAGCCTCCCCCTTGGGGGTTTTTGTCATTAGTTGCCATGTTTAGCAGACGGATTGGAAACCGCAGTTAGGCTTTGGATATGTTTTAAGAGGGAGATAAAAAACAAATAAATACCACCGTATACCATAAATCCCACAACGTCTGTATACTTTTTTTGTAAATGTAAACTTAAACCGCTTTTCTACCAAGGATGTTAAAATTAAGTATAAACAATCAACATCTTCAAGCTGCTGCTAAAGCCTATCAGATGGCGCTAAAAAGTAGTATCAACAATCTATTCATCAAGATCTACTTAAGTTATTAAAAGTTAGTGTGTCTATATTATTTACAATATTTTTCCCCTTGTTTTCTAGAATTTACTAAGCAGATACGTCGTGGAGTCATTAATTACTAAAGGTTTTTTAAACTCCATCTTATAATACTACTATCACATCAGTACTTAGAAACTTCATTCTTGTATTGTTATTGGGTCTTTCTAAATTTAGTTAGTAATACAAATTCGTCTATTTGTAGTAATCTTTGTTTTATATAATAAAGCAATCGAGCTGATGGCTCATTCGATGGAAATTGGTAATCGTAGTTTATTAAAGGGCTGCTCGTATCACCGAATACAGCTTTACATTACATATTAGATTACAAATACTTTACGCACCTCAGACTACTAACGTCAACCCAAGTGTCAAACGACTGAAATTGGGCTCCGAGCTAAGATTTATTAATTGCCTAATGATACCTAATTTAGAGGTGAAATACGTGTCGTAACATGTACGTAGACTGAATAATGGTCAGCGATTGATAACTAAAAGGTGAGGTCGTAGAATTACTATTAATAATTATAATTAATCTTCAAATACTGGCATATTTCAGGATTGATTATTATGACGCATATGGCAATGGTAGTGGAATGAAACAATTTTAATCACTACTTGATTGATAAGTGATATGGTCTCCTGCAAAATAACAGTGAAACATATTATGGCTGGAGTTACGTATTCCATATTCCTTTTCTTTCTCTATGAGTTCCTAACAATATTACCGAATCGAATTCGAAACCATACTTAAAATAACTAAATAATGTACCTACTTTTGTACTGTAAAGAAAACTTACGACGTAATAATATTACTCAATATACTTTTTTATTCATACTACGAACGTTAAATATTTATTCGAGCTGACCTCATTTTTCTCATTTGTAATTCGGATATAACAAAGAAATACACAACTTTGCTACTTACATAAAACATATATTTTTATGCATGTTTTAGTAACGGCAACGGATCAGGTCATTTTAAACTAGGTATTTCTTATTTTATTTACAAAATTGTCCACGGTGTTATCAATATATATCTATAGGCGACGGAGGGCATTTTTCCTCAGGTGGGATCCCAGAATTTATGTCATTCTAAGTAACCCAAAAAAAAATCTACTTCCTGCCATGTCTCTTAGTCTGTATTTGAGATGCGTATGTGTTGAGTGTTACGTTTACCAAAACGGCGACAGTCGACAATGACTCTGATTACACCAATAAGGATTATACAGCATTTTTTTTTATTTACCTGTAGGCCTAGCTCTTTGTGACCTGGCGGCTGCTTTCCTGGCAGCAGCGGTCGGGCAGCCGGAGAGCGAGCGGTGTGTGCTGCGGTTGGAGCTGACGTGACCGCGACCGTTGCACCCCGGCGTGGGGCACTTCAAGATCGTCTCGTGCAACGCCAATACTATACAGAACGAATTATAATGTATAGAATTTGTGATTGGAAGTGATCTACTCGTATTATAAAAATATATAACAACAGTGCTCAGGAAATAATACGTATTTCTTTCTTTTTTTTGTTTAATGTATTAATTATCATATTTTTTCTGATAATATATAACTATAAACCAAATCTTTTTGTAATATGGATAAAATCATATTACGCTGACCCCAAATGATTGGGATAGGGGTAGGAAGATGATGATTTTTTCTGAACAGTAACCGCGTATTTTATTATATGTTACGCAGTGTATTTACAGAATAGATTCCTTCATCGTAGTACTTATAATTAATCAGATTTTTTTAATCTGATACGTATATGGCTTTGGTTCTCTCACAGTTTTTTTTTAAATTTAATTATTAGAAATAGATCGATTGACATTAAGAATGTTTTTGAGTAGTTTGTCCATTATCTGGTTTGTCGACTGTACCTATGTTTTATTATGTTTCTTAAACAGTCTCTATTTCATGTCTGTACCTATGGTCTGTAAAGAGATATACAGTTCTTTCTGTTTACTCCGTAAAGAGTTGATGTTATTCTAATTATTGTTCTGATTACATCTATTTTTATACGTTTCCATTAGATATTTGAAAGTATCTACTCCTTTGTTAATATGCACATAGGAGACTACATATTAATATCGAATAATTAAATGAAATCTACGATAAATAAAAATTAAGTTTACTGGAAGAAATGAACATATTCCGGCACTTGTGTGTGATAATACAGGTAAATCGCAAATAAAAATAAATGATTAAATAAAGTAAGTAACAGTAGCAAATAATGAAAATAATAATTGGCATGTAAAAAATAACTATTTGACTAAACAAATGTGTAATAGGTTATAATGATAAAAAACAATATGAGAAGGAATATTGTTATTTGATTTTACTCACTCTCCGGTGTGACTTTATCCTTTCTTGGGCATCCTGACAGACTAAACAACAAACGATAATATTTAAGTATGGATGTAAATTGTATATGAAAGTTGAAGAATAGATAATATACAATATATTCGATGTAGGTACGTAGTTCAGTTGATCAAGATTTGATATAGATTTTGTACAGGTATAATTTAAAAAATTAACTACATCGTTATTGTTTAATCGATAATCGATTTGAGTTTTGAAAGTCACATTCTAAGGTTAGTATTAGGGAGGATCTCGTTCGTTTTCAGTTACCACTGCAATGCATGAGAGTCATCGACAACTCACCTCCTGTGATGCGTGTACAGGCCGGTGACGTGGCCCTGCCCATTGCAACCGGGAGTAGGACACTTGTTGCCTTCTGTGAACAAATCGACCGGTGCACAAATTAGTATTTTCCTAATCATCGGGTGGGGGCGTGCGAGGCCGATCGATACGGGCGGGCGTGCCGCCGACGAGGCGTACCTGCGCGGCCCCGCCCCGCACCCGCTCTGCCCCACCCCATCGTCAACTTCAAAGAAAAAATAAAGAACGCCAGGCGGCTGCGCGCGGACTCACAATTTTTCTTTCAGGAGTAGCGGGGCGGCGCTATAGCGCCCCGCCTACCGCCTGCCCTGACCCGTTTTTATTGCGCGTCACCCTGACATAAACCTAGCTACTGAGCAATACGAGGAAAATGTTTAGGTACCTTATATACGATATCAACGTAGGTGGAGTCTAACCTTACTTTAACCATCGTTGACTAAATTATGAAAGACATTTTACAAACGAGATAATTTGTTGCTAGCGTTCTAACTAACTGTCTAAAGAAAGCAGGATTATCTTAAACAAATATACTTAAATTGAATTATAGACATCAATTCATATTTAAGATTTATACAGAAAGTTATCGCTTTATTGAAATCACACAGAAATAGAAATGTAACAGTCCAAGAACAATAGGATTGACATCGACCTCGCTATGTTATGAGATATCGCGGGACGACCTTGAAACAAACTTCGACTTAGTTCATAACGGAGCGGAGTTCCGTGTTATAGCCATGTCGTTAAGAAAGTTTGACTATCGTTGTCTGTGGTAAGACCGGTACCTCTAGCGACCGGCGGGGAGAGTGCGGCGAGAGGTCGGGAATCTCGCGATGGTTGCGCTGAAGGCACAGTCCGAGCTTCTTGAAGGGCGGTAGCAGCACGAGAACCCGCTCCTGCCGGTTGTAGGACTGTGTACTGTTTGGACCCTTTGTGAATTGAACTCTTCTCGTGATCGTTGGAATATCCACCAAACGGTTCACTTGGAAGTGTAGCTCCGTGAATTCTATGTTTAACTTCGGCTGGCGGTTTGAAGGCAGATGTTGTAGAATACGGTAACGCTGCAGTGGCAGCTTTGTATGCACTATAGAGCGATTGCTTGTTCACAGTGATCATTTCGTTCTTACGTTTTAACTTGGAATCTCTTTCGTCGTCGTATTTGTCCTCGTTCCGATCTGACATATCTATTTCTAACTCATTGGAAGACGAATCGACGAGCTCGTCGAAATTTGGTGCATCGTAGTTATTAGAATATTTGCTATGTTTATCGTAGTCTTCGTTACTTCTCTCTCTATCAGACCTTTGAGATTTATTTGTTTTTTCTTCATTATCACTAGTACCGTTCGTATTGTGGTCGTCGGTTTGATGATGTAAACTATAACTTCTTTGTGAACCATCAGCACTTTCGGAAGACGGCGAAGGGGAAGACGGAAGCATTTTATCGGAACGTTTATCACTGAAAAGGTTTTCAAAACCATTGGCATCATCATTATCGTCGCAACTATTTGTCGAGCCCTGGTCCCGAGGCCAGCTACCTGAAAGTGTTTTTAGAGCGGCTTGAGTTTCCCGGATGAGTGTTTCATCATCTTCCTCGGATTGCCTGCACGCTTGCGGTCTATGTGATGTGGGTACAGGACGGCGACGAGTGTCGGGTTCTTCGCGTCGTTCATCATCGAGGAGACGTCGTCTTCGCTTGCCTAGTATTTCCTCTTCATCCATGGAGCCCTCACTACCGGCACGTTCGTATCGCCTGTTATTCAATCTGAACGTTTCAACATCCACGCCGAACTCCAATCTTCGTTTGTTGATGTGCGATAGCGATGACTGCGTATTCAGTGGCGCCGTCCTGTAACAAATACCGCTATCAGATGCATTCCCAGGATAATTCAACACCAACATCAAATATTTATTGACATTAATGAAATAGAAATATGTATTGTACTTGCGATTCGATTTTCCATCCACAATCAAAATATTTTTACGCGGAAATGATTCTCGGCGTTTTGAATCGACGTTGACACTTTAAAAGCACTTGGTTATATTTATTTGCACAAAAATCGTTCCCACGTAAAAACCATTTCACTCAAGAGCTTTCAGACCAAGTATTTTTGACATTGGTGAAGGCATAGGAGTAAATATTATCAAGTTATGGTAAATAATTAAAATAAATCAAAACGGTACTGTTTCAATTGAGTTAAGAACACCTCAATATTTCATAATGAAGTGGGTAAGTATGTAAGGAAAATATAATGTTTAGTCCAAATGGATTAATATGTAGACTTCTAATTACTATCACACCACGCATTTCCATAATTGTTTCTTAAATATTTCTATTTTTATATTCCTTTAACTTATTATAGAACACAGTAAACTTTGTATTAAACTTTTTATTAAACTTTTCTCAAGTTTTTGATTCACGTCAAAATAGATTTTTTTTTAATTATTTTGCATCGGTATCTAGTGACGGCTTTTTTGAGTACATATAGGTTGCATATTTGGTATTTTTTTAATGTTGTGGTTAGTAAGGTTAATTATAGCATTTCAATTCTTGATTTGAAACATTGAATAACAGATTTGATAAATATGAATTAATATGGTCATAATAAATCCGACTATGGTCATCAGTGTATTTATTTGTTGTTTTAATTAATTTGATCTTTTAACTCGAGCAGTTCCATGTAATCAATTAATAGACAATATATTTACACACAATTTATTGAAAATTGTGTTTTAGTACAAAATAAATTTATTTACGAATAAATATTGATAAGTGTATCACTTCAGAATGTTTGAATCGATTTTAAATTTTTTTAATGTTTATTTTTTGAAACTATTGTTAAATAAATTTTATTTGATATTTCTTACTAACGAATTATATTATAAATTTCATACTTATTACTTATATTTGGATATCGTTTTAATGGAGATAAATTTTGATAATAATATTTATTAGTTTTATTGATACAATAACGTATGTACTTTAATCATCAATTTTAATTATAATATATATGTATATATATATATATATATATATATATATATATATATATATATATATATATATATATATATATATATGTATACAAATATAATTTCTTCATGTTAAATATTTTAAGAAGTAAGTAGATAACTGAGTGCCAATAGTAATGAGTGGTTTATATGCGTCGCTTGTGTCGCTTGAAATTATTTTTATTTCGTTTTTTCATCACAGCGCCGTAGTTTGTCTATTATAAGATCTTTAGCATAAGAATGGTTAATTATATTAATTATAAAATAAAATAAATTATTTCGCGTATTGTATTGTATATAAAAAATGAAGTCTATGAAAATTAAGAATTTTGACAAAGTAAAAACAAACTTACACACACAGAAACTAACTACTTCACTCATAAAAAATATGCAAACTATAATAAATTAATCCTATCCTATTTGAATGAAATAATATTATAAATGGTAAGTTTGTAAAGATGTTTGGATATTTATGATTCAATTATATTTAAGATGTTTAGTTTTAGGTACAGTCATTGTAAATATCCCAAAAATTTCTATATATTATACCTACTGTAACTATATATTATTAGAAAAATGTAATAAAATATATTTACCTAACAATTACTTACTTGACACAACAATATTTTTGTTGTTTTATGTTTGTTTTTCGTTGTTTTACAGGTTTTGCTATCTTGATTATAATTTAATTTCTCATATGGGTAAGGATATTTAATATTTATACTGCAAAGGGCTTTTAAAATTAATTTAATTAAAATGATGTTCAAAATATATGTATTAATTTATAAATGAAAATAGAAACCCCACGTGTTTGACAGTTCTTTCTTTATAACTATGTATATTTAATATTGCATCCAAGTTAATTGAAATGACGTTCTTGTTCCGTCATGTTTGTCTTTATTTTGTAATTGTTGATTTTTAGATTTCTTTTATTTTAAAGAATAAAAAATTTAAGAAAATATTGTTTGTAAATAGTAATTTTTTAAGTAATCCGTAATCTCTCTTTTAATGCAATTTGTTACTTATTTGTATGTGCGTATGTGAGCATAGTATATGTAAGCCATATCTAATTTTTAAATTTAATGTGTATGGTGCAAGAAGTTAGTTTTTTTTTTATTAAAATTATCGTTTTAAATATACAAAAGCGTTTATTCCGAGTATATTTGATTTTCTATATATTGCTATTGTATAATTAATGACTATTGCCATTTATTGGTTTGTTCTCTGATTAATAATTTTCTAATTACAACATGATGTGAAAATAAAAAGTATAAATCATATAGTTTTTTTTCAGTCATAGACAACCTAATAAGTAAACAGAATTTGTAAAAAACCAAAAAATTTAATTTTAATTTAAATATAGAATTATAATAATTAGTAGTAAACAATTACATAATATTTTAATCGCTGTATAGATAGTATGAAAACAACATAGGAATATATCAATAATTTCATAGAAGTTTGTTTGCAATATTTTCCATGAATTTTTGATTACTGTTTAAAAAGTACGATATATCATAATAAACCAAATTCTATTATATTTTTCCAACAAAATAATATGTATTATTGTTATTTTATTAGTTTATATGTATTATTATTACTTACATATGAAGGTGTAGTATACAAATACTTATTATCGTAATATATGTTTAGTTTTAATAAGGTATTATTAAGTTTTATCTTTAGCTGTATAGTTTTTACCTTCGAACATTTTAGTTTTCTTTCAGCTTTTCATAGCTTGATTGTAAGAGATCTTTCCATGGGATCAGTCCGCCATTGTAGATTAAATCTTTTTTATATGTCCAATATACATTTTGTTCAATAAAGATTTTACAATAATACTGACAAACTAGCGAATCGTAACCGCATACAGTTATAGAATTAGATTTATTGATCGGGATTATTTCCTTAATTTTGTGCAATATGCGTCCAACTTTGCCTTAGATAGTAATCGATGGCCCTTGACGAAGATACCTACGAGGGCGCCCATAGGAAGGCCGAAGTATCGATAGTACCAAAATCCGGCAAACATTTACGTACGTGACGCATCCCCTAGTCACTGTCGACGTTAAGCGAAGTTACACGAAACGTGCACCGTATTCGGATGTGGAATACGGTTTGTAACGCGCGTTACTATGTAAGGGAAAACTTTTGTGTTAGCGTAGGGTAATTAGATAAACCCTGAGGGCGGTGGATGCTTAACCGGTTTAAACTAGTGCTCGTGTGGACCTTTATCAGCGGGTGGCGAGTGGCGGGTTATCTCTGGGCCGCGTTAATTGTAATGTCTAAAGATTAGGGCGCGATATAAGGAGCGTCGCGAGAATAAGCAGATGCGGAGGATTAACCGAATATCCTGGAGATGAGACGTGACTATTTTGCATGATGGTAATATTATATGATTCATGAATACAAGGTATAATAAATGTAGTCAAGATCAAAACGAATATGTTACTTTACGAATAAGGAATTTTGTATTTTGCTTTAAAAAGAGTTATTTTAAGCATACATGTTAATAATACGCCTATCGTAATTGAATTGATTTCAAGATTTGTATAGTGGCTGTTTGATTCTTTCCATTTTCACTTCAGGGTCCTTATGGGGTAAACTGAAAGAATCAAGTGGCAATAATTTAACCTTAACTCTAATCACACACTAAAAGTATATAAAAGAGTCATGCAAATAATTATATTTTTATCTTTATATTTTATAATTATATTTATATAATTATATTAAGTATGTTATTATATGGTATTTTTATTATAGTAAAATGTCTATATATTTATAATACATTCTTCTTTTATAAGTTCCTAGGTATAAATAAAATGAAACTGCAATGAGGACGTTTCTATACGTCCAATTTTTTATAAAAATATAACGTCGAAGTCTCAGCCCAGGTGTTTATCGAATATTCTCCTTACATATATAGCATTTCTTTATATAAATTGCAATTATTAGTAATTCCTTAAGACTGTGCATAATTCCTAAGAAGCCAGAATGAACGCGTAGGAGGCGAGACCCTTTCACCGCGCAGCAATAACAAACACGCGCGGGCCACCCGCAGCCCGACATCGCGGCACCCAAATTCAAATTGCACCTTAGAATTCTTAATTATTGAAATCATAAATCAAAAGGTGCCGTCTGTAGAACCGCCATAAAATTCTTAGCGAGGGTCCGCAAGCAAACTCAAGTGTGGTAGGATTAAGACATTATCACTTTTCTTTCGAGCAGTCGCGCCCTCGCTCTGGCTTGGCTCGGCTCGGCTGTAAATCAGCGGCTAAATCCTCTGGATTAGATTCATAGAGTTGCCGCTGCCTGCGGATCGCGCTCTAGCGATAATGGCGTCGTGTGCTCGCGTGATTTTGCTTTTAAATCGACTCTTTGGAGAAGATAAATACACTTCCAATTTGGCCTCAACCCCGAATTGAGTTCATCGTTTAAATGGCTTTAGCTGGAAGTTAGTTGGAGTTTATAGCGAATAACAACTGACGGCTACTGATAACTGGACACCCAAGATGTAAAAGTTATTGAACAAAACAGGCTGTCATAACTTATTTGATCTCTGGGATTAAAGGTGCTTCAAAATGATTAAACAGGTCCCATGTAAACACAGTGAGTAAAATTATCTGCAAGATTGTTACAAAAAGAAACTAAGAATTTTAACTTAATAGTAGACAGGGTGGTGAACTCTGTATTTGCTATGTTGGACTAGAAAATGATTTATCATATAATCAGAATCAGAAATTCTAGATAGTTATGGTATGTTTTTATAGTATTGCAATTACAATTGAAAAATGTTAATTACCTATATGTCTTGAAAGTTGGTAACTGTCATCCAAT